AATATGCGTTTTTGCTGCCTGTTGCAGCGCTCTAGCGCTGCACGGCAAAAACGCATAAAAACCATGGGTCACTTATTTTTTCACTCACATCACGTCTATTTTTAGGGAAAGTTTGAAAAAATTGACTGGCAGGTGAACTAATGATGGTAGACACGCGATGGAAGGCCTGCATGACGCGACACTCATTTTTCAAAGAACCGAACAAGGAAGAAAGTTTAAATCACTGGTAGACTAAGTGACGCAGCTGCGACCACGGTAACATAGAAAGACGACCAGATGCAACGTCGCAAAAATGCGCAACGACAAAACGTTAGCTGACCAAGTTACCAGAGTAACCACGGAGCAGAGTAACTTATTAGATGAAATGAAATTTGAAGAGGAGCAGCATAGCCCGTTTTTTTTTTTTTGGTCAAAACTGGAGTGATGAGAGAGCCCTGTTCTGATATTCGGTAACAAAAAAAAAGCGCAACAAAAACTGTAAATATAAATGTATATAAACACCGAATATTGCACATCAAAGGAGTAAATTTTTGGCGCAAAAGCTTACGATTATCGATCGAATTCCGATGTCCGGTTGGCTTACGCGGCGGCAAGCCGGTCGACGATTTTTTCGCAAGAGAAAATTTCCTAGTGACGGATGAACGTCTGCAATGCTTCATTATTTCAGCACCCTCCTTTTCTTTTTCTTCTTCATCACCGGGTCGCGAGACGTCAATCGCCGAATCTGCTGCTGATTCCGTTGTATCGCTGTACGGCGGAATAAAGGTTACTCCACTCTTGATCAACTCATCAATGAAAAACTCCAGTATCTCTTTTCCCTGAAAACAAACAAGTCCCATCAGAAAGCATACTGAAGAAGGAGGGTGAGTGCATTCAGGAATCCAATAAGCATCAATAATTGAAGCAAACCTTGGCAAGAGTTGCAGCATAGTGCTTTACAGCTATCTTTTCAACTGTAGATTCGAGACCAAGCAGTGACTGCACATCCAACGAGGCACTTTGCTCGAAACAAGTCCAATTATTGTTTTCTGGGTGCACCTACAAACTGATTTCATTGATACGACTGCCTTCCAGACAAAATACCATAACATTCTTGTGGCTCACAGTTTTTTGACTAAAAATATCAGCCAAAGACATTTAAAAACATCTGCCATATCAATCCAAAGGCTCCGAATTACTCTCAGGAAGTAATTTTACCCTCAAAATTTGCATATTTCTGTAGCGCAATAATCCACTAACAAGCAATAATAAGCACATACGTAATAGAAGCATGTTTCTTTGGCATCAATCCTTGGTGCGAGTGAGACATTTGTCGCTTCTATAATAAGCGTACGTTTCCGCCTATCCAATGAATTCTTCTGTTTGAAGTACAAGAAATCAACACCGGTTATCTGCAGAACATTTCCGAATTTTTTTTGAAAAATCTGAATATAGTGGAGAGTGGAAACAAAAAAGATTCGTTAAATAGACAAAAAAACACTTTCGAAGTATTAATTTCGCTGGATGCGCCATGCTATCAACGTGCTTGCTAGACCAACGACAATTCATAGACCTGGCTCACTAGCAGCGCTGCAGAAGCAACAGTACTT